TTTAACTGCCGCTTCCTTCAAACACGATGGTACATGTCCTTCCCTGAAAGATGCGTTGATTCCACAAGGAATCTCCTCAACGCGTCCCCCCAATGGACGGCCAGCCACAATGGGCAAGGGTCAAGAGGGCAGGTTGTTATCCTCACACTACCAAGGAGCTTGTCCATGTCATCAGCACTCACAGATTGAAGCTGATCCAGTATAACTACATTGAGGGAGTCGCTGGACACCTCGCCTTTGGTTTTTGCTAAAATATTGGCGTCTAAGTCGGTTCTTATCTGAGAGATTTCATCTGCAAAGAAGTTGTTAAATGTGTCACAGCAGGCCGTCATTGGGTTAAGTAAGGGATTTGGTGCAGGGGACACCTGCGTTAGCTCCCTCACCACCCTAAATGGCTCTGCTGAACAGAACTCTGCAGACGCAATACGTACAGAGGAAAAGGATCTCTGCGCTGCACGTATTGCCTCCCGATAGGACCAAAGAAAATTCCTATGGTGAGTTCTGTCAAATAAGAGTTGAGTCTTCCGCCATCTGCACTCTAGTCGTTGTCCAACACGCTTCGTTTCCCTCATCTTTGGTGTATACCATGGCTTCCAGTTTGAAGTAGGTTGGCAAGGACACTTGGGGGCGATCGTATCGATAGCCTTGGTGAGATTGATGTTCCAGGTATTAACAAAGGCATCAACAGGGTCACTGGCATTTCCAGCCATTAAACCCCCCAAAGCTTTCTGGATTCCAGTTGGATCCAATAGCCTTTGAGGGCGGACCATTCTAATGAGTCCACCACCCCTGATGGGGCAGATACAGGCTCTGAGTTCCAATTTGACCAGGAAATGATCCGTCCATGACTGAGTGGTGGTACTAATAACCCTCGCCCATGGATATTCCTGTTCTGTACTGAAGACCGCATCAACTGTATGACCTGCACAATGTGTGGGCCTGATGACCAATTGGGATAGGCCCATGTTAGCCTTGGTATCCATGAACTCCCGAGCTGCACCTGTTAAACTGGTCTCAAGTGGAACGTTGAGGTCTCCCAGAACTAAATGTCTGGGGGACTCTGTCAACAGCTCCAAGACCAGCTGTGGTTGGTAGACTAGCAGAATCACCACACTATCCCTGGTCCTCAGGCTAAGGTACATACACTTGAAGTGGACTGTGTTTGGGACAGGTATCCTGGTCAAGGTCAGGTTGTTCTTATGAATTAGAGCCACTCCGCCCCCTTGCCCACTTTCCGTCACCTGCTCACTAACAGAGTACCCAGCTGGGAGTGCCTGCACTCAAGTAGCAGCGCTATTCTCTCCCAGCCAGGTCTCTATGAAGCAAGCCAGGTTGGCATTCTCATCCATGAGAAGATCATGGATGATGTGGGTCTTATTTTTCACTGACCTGGCATTGCAAAGGAGCAGAGTGAGGTTCTGTCATATGGTTGTTCTGCTCTCTGAGCCAATAATATATATATATTTTTAATT